TACGGAAGGGGAGTTGGTAGTCGGTTGTCTAATTGTATGTGTGTGTGTGTGTGTGTGTGTGTGTGTGTGTGTGTGTGGATGTGCCCGTGTCACGATCTTCCGAACCCTCCGCCAGACCCGGGAATCGGAATATAGTGTTTGGTCATGCGTGCAGCAAAAAAGAGTGCTGGGCATGTCCCGGCAGCAGGGTCGAGGGGAGATGGACTGCCAGCAAAGTCGTGCAGCGTAATGGCCCGACAGCCCTGCGGCAGAGGCTTGGTATGGCTCAGGTTGTGGCTCGTGGCTCCTCTAAATCTTGGTTTCCCCTGCAGCCCCGGCGGTGGGAGTTGGGCCCGGGTCGTCGGGAGAAAAAAAAAGAAAAGGGATGATCACGCTTGGGCAGAGAGGGAAAGAAGCCAACGGGACGTCGCAGCCAGAGCTTCCAGCTTACGCCGTTAGTCTCTTTCCCAGGCCGTTTCCAAGCAGGGGCCAGCGCGGAAAATTATCGTGAGGATCGGGATGGGATATGGGGGATCGTAAAATGCGATCCGTTATATACTGCAGGAAAAAAGCAAGAACGGGATTCCCCCCATGCCCTGCCTGCGGGATCGGCTCAGGCTCTAGACCGCCGTCGCCAATTGGCACATTCGTTAGCGCCCAAAGCGAGAGAGTGAAAAAAGGGGGGGCGTGGCTGTTGCATGTGGCTTGGTGCATCGGCAGTCTCTCCCTTCCCGCTGCCTGGCGCCCGGGCGGACGCTCTGACGTAGCCAGGGAAGCCTGAGAGGCTTGCGGGGAGCTGTCCGCTTCAAGAATAGATGGGATGGGGGCGGGCGAATGGCGCGGTTCCAAGGGCCGCGGGGAGGAGGAAGATGAGGGGGAGGCGCGCCGCGGCCACATGATGCAGAGCCCAGACACGCAAGTTGTCAGCGCTATCTAGGTGCTAGTCTCTACTTCTTTGGCCCTGGTTCCGCTGGCGGTGGCAGTTGGGGTGGGCGGAAGATGTCGTCTTCGCGACGGGAGTGTTCCGTCACCGACACGCCCGAGGTCCACTCGGGGATTTCGGGTGGGTAGTAAGGGACAAGGCAGGACCTAGGCAGAGCCGCCGTCCCAGCTGGACGGGTCAAGTCACGCTTTCCGAAAGAAGGGGCTACCTAGCTTGGGGGGTGAGGGACAAATCTCAAGCTCCGGGATCGGCCAGGAAATAGCAGAGAAAACAGGGCTTGGGACCAACGAAGGACGGCCGATCGACCAGTTCCCGATCGCTTGCGTCGCGAACACGCGTCCGATTGCAGGGTTTGTCCTTAGGTGAGCGCTTATTGAATAGAGTGCCTGGGGATTACTGATATGGGACCCTGCACATGTTCGTCTCTCGTTGGTCGTGTCTCAGCCCAATTTCTCGGAATCGGCAGCTAGGGGAGTAGAGAATTGAAGAGAGGAAAAAACCTGTCTGTGGGGATCGACATTTAACAGACGCATCACAAGCAGCTGTCGCGATGAGAAAAGATCAGAAGACGGCAGCTCTCCAAAGGCGCTAGACAAGGGCATCCAGGAGCGATAGGGCGCCCCATCGAGCCATTGATGTGAGCCGCTTCAGGTTCATTTGCGTGCTCCCTGCCCTTGAAAACCTGCCGTGCGTGTGGGGTTTGTTTCATAGCGTTTCTGAGGGGAATGCATCCAACCCTGAGCGCTAAAAGTGACAGCATCCGCAAGGCTGCCCGTCTGCCGATCACTCCACGGCCGGAGCAGAAGCTCCTGTCTTGACCCCGCCCTCTCCTTTTTTCTTCTTCTCCTGTTGAGCGAGGGGGCCTGTCTGCCGCAATTGGGTTTTCCGGCCCTTGATCGCGATCTCGATTGTCGACGGATCGACAAGACAGCTACCTACGGACCACATGGCATGGCACAACCGGCCGTATCTCCCGCCGCGCGCCCCTGCTGCCTGGCACTCGACACACAACAGCAGGATACGATAGCAAGCGCGGGGGCTACACCGACATGGCCTGGTGCTCATGTGCGTGCGCCTGCCCTCGGAGGCGCGGACGCCGGCGACACGGGGGTGGTCCCTTACTGCGCGCCTGCATGGATGGCTGTTGCCAAAAAAGAAAAGAAAATTGAGGGCCGCCGTCTCGGCGAGCCGTGGCCCCGCGCGGTAGTTGGCATAACCTCGTCGATCAGGAGGCTAGCCTCGAGCTGGCAGGGCTCCCGCCGCAGCTTGATGTCATGTTTTTTGGGGGGGGTTTCCTGAACTCCAGCCGCCCCGCCTGTCGTAACTATGACGAAAGGCATGAGAGAGGCAGAGCTGTGAGAAATGGAACTTGAAGGAGGGGCACGCGCCGTGCCGGGAAATAAAACAGCCAACCGATTTTTGCCAGCCAAACTAAAATTGGCCATCCCCACACTAAAGATGGGATTTTCGGGGACGTGACAGTGCTCAATCCATTTCTTTACTCTTTTTGTCTTCCTCGGTGTTTTTTTCTTGTTCTCCCTACTACCATTGGATTGCAATTGAAGGGCACAACAATTGCCGGAAGTAAGGAACTGGACAGAGATAAAAAGAAGAAGAATGTGCAGCAGCCTAGGAACCGTAATCCTGCACACGGCCGCCGTCACGCCTCAACCGCTTGTGGCGAAAATGTGGCACAGGACAAGAGGCGGAGAAACAAGGTGCGTGTCGGTGCTCGCAACCGACCGACGCCAAGCGCGGGATGATTGATGTGGCAAAAAAGTGGCCCACCTCCCAGATCGGGAGCCTGTGGCTGGTGACCTCGTCTGATTGGGTCTTCCCGCGATGCCCCCCCTTGTCCAGACCGGCCGGGCCAAGCTTTTTTCTTTATTTGCGTGCTGTTAGTGCAGGCTCCTTCGGCCATGTATTCTCTCTCTCTCCTGCCTGTCGCCCCGGAGAGTTTGCTCCGGGCCAACGTTCCACAAAGACCAAAGGGCAGCAACGCCCCCCTCACGGCGCGACGTTTGCAAATGCAGAAGAGTTCTCTTTTACCCAGGGCCCAGCAAAACGTCCACTTTGCCATTCCCCTCCCACTCCGGAAATTGCACGGCGTTTCAGAATTGTCAAGGGATGACGTAGACATGTGGCTTTTTGTGGCCGGGGCCTGCTGGACATGTTCGCACAAGTTCCGGCGCGGTGCTTTTCTGTTGTGGCGCTACCCAAGGGTCTCGCGTCAGAGGACCAAAGTCCCCAACAACTGGCTGCAGGAGCTTGGGGTGTGGAACAAAGTTGCCCAGACTTGGAGTGGCTGGGGAAAAGTTAGCACGCCCCAACATAACCAACTCGTAGCAATCTCGAAACTTTCCAGGCTACGGCTCGGCAGCTCTGGTGAGCAATTTCTCGTCCGTCGGCTCGCTATCAGCCAGCATCCTGCCGTGCCTCATGGGAAGCCCGGCAGGCTTGCTGCGACGGCAAGCTCGGGCTGTAGGTGCCTTACCGACTGCTGCTCACTGGGTGCACAGCAAGGGTCTATGGTACCACTGATGCCCCCTCAAAACCTGCTCTAGTCTCAAGGGTAGCCAGGCAAGGTCATTTTACCGCCTCATCGTGAGAGTGAGGTGACCGGTCTGTGCGATCAACGGCAGCTGCGTGATTCCTCCTCCTTCTCGCCCCCTCCATCGTTTCCCCTTGCCCATCACGAGGTTTGCTCTTGCATATTTCCCCATGTACGTACGTGACCTGCGTGCTGCAGAGTAGCAAGCGAGGGGCTGAAGCCCATCCTAGTCGGTAGCGGGTGCCGCCCACGGCCGGATAAAAAAAAACGGAACACTTTTCAATTTTTGCCCCTGTGCATACCACCACCAAATGAAAAGTGTTCCGTTTTTTCTTACCAGACCGTGCCGCCATCCAGTGCCTCCTCATCCGTTCGGCGCTTAGAACGCTATTGGCTGCCAACTTTCCTACTTTCGCTTTGGTTGCATCTGGCCACTGACTTGTTGGGCAGAAGCAGACACCACCTTGCAAACCCTCCAAGGTTAATCCAAAAGGTGGCCTAGGCAGGAAGCTCACACGTAATACTCATTGCGATGTCATACATGTGCAAGTACATACGTGCTTCATGAACTACTCATCAACCAATCAGTGGCGAATGGTCGAGGGGGTGCGGATGAAGGTGGCTGTGCATTCCCTCGGCAACCAACATTTGCCTGCCGTGCCAGTGTTTACCCGCTGCTGGCCGGAGGCTATCATGACGAGAGGCCTCGTGAGAGGGGCGCTGGAACTGCAAGGACAAAGCTCATACTTGGAACGTGTGTAAAGCTAAAGGTAGGCTGAACCTTGGTCTTGGTTGTGGCCAGCCAGCCAGCGGCTCGCTCTTCAAACCGGAATAGCCCAAAGCCAAATTGAGCGGAGAAGGGGTTCGTTCTCCACGGGTATTAACAGAACACGAGCCAAAAAATGGAACAGGGAAAAGCACGAAGCTTATTATCGCGAAGTGGCATGGCAAACACAGCACCCTCCGAAAGAAACCGAGCCACGGCGCTGTTAAATGCCATCCATCGGAGCTGCCCGTATTTTCGTGCATTTTTTTTTATCGGTAAAGCGGTACCGGCTCAGTGGGGCCCCCGGTGGGAGCTGCCAGTGGAGATCGCCCGCTGGCCCCGCCTGGCAGGCATGGCGAACAGGGTTGGTCGACCTGAGCTCGCCATCAGTCGCGGCCCTCCCGAGGCCCAGGATAATACCGGAAGAAGCTCCCGAGCCGGCTCAGTCGAAGGGGCAAGCAGGGCAGGAGGTTAATCGCCCGGTCCGGCGTGCCAAGGATACATTACCCCGTTGTGTGGGGGAGAACGAAACGAGACAAAAAAAATAGAGGAAAGAAAAAAACGGCCCTGCGAGACCGCGGCAATAATGCAACACGAAAGCAAAGCAGCACGCAACGCAATCCGAGGGAGGGGCCCAAGCGGTTGACCTCGCCCACGCCGCATCGGGCAACTCCAAAAGCCTGGCCAGTGGAATCTTTCACGCCTCCAATCTTATTTCTCATTCGCCCTCCAGTCGCCACTGTTGGTTGGTTCGTAGGCTCCTGCCTGCGTGCCTGCTTGCCTGCTTGCCTGCTTGCCTGCCACCGCGCGGTTTCGCCTCCAGAGCTCCTTCCCGACCGCTTCTACCCCGCCCGCAGCTGTGCAAGCTTCGGTTGCTCCTACTCCTGCTCTTGCTCTTGCTTTTGCTCTTGCCAAAAGCGCTAGCAGACAGACAGCTCCGGTTTCTTTTGCGGGCAAGTGGGCACCTTGTGTGGAGCCCCCGGCTCACCCTTGCCGCTTTGAGCCGAGCGGCCAGGCGCCCACTCCAGCTGGAGCCAGGCACTGGCAGCCGATTGAATGGGATTGAGTGACGGGAACGGGCTAGTACGGGCCTGGTACTTTGGTACTTGGGCAAGCTCCCCCGTCATAACAACCACGCACAGGCAAAAATGATCGAGATCGATCGACACGGGGTTTGTGCTGATGGCAGACAGCAGAGCTCTCTCTCGCACGCCTTTCTCGAACCGCCTCCCTCGGCCCTTTACCGTCTCTGCTGCAACTGCAACCGCTTTGTCCGCATTGGGCTAACCACCTAGATCAAATGCCTTGCCATGCTTGCCAATGCCTTGGATATCCATACAGGCAAGTCCCTCGAGGCGCTGCACCGGCCTGCGTCTCTCTTTCATCCATGTTTGTTTTATTTGTCTTGCTCTGCTTTCCTCGTGCGCGCGTCCACGCCACACACCCCTCCCGTCTGCTAGGTAGGTACCAGAGTCCCAGACCCCCCCCAGAGTCCCAGACCCCCAGAGTACCAGAGTGCCAGCCCAGGCCCGGTGCGGCAACGCGGGCCCCTGCCTGCCTTGCTTCCCTGCAGCCGGTGGTTTTGCTCCTGGCGTGCCACACAGTGCACTCTCTCACTCCAGCAGGGGCGTGCCGCCAAGGACCAGCACACCCACCCGCTCCCCGTCTTATATATCTATTCACGCCTGCCCTCACTCTTCCCTCGCCAACGCCTAGGCCACGGGCAACACCAACCGGTCATCCTCTCTCGGCCCAAACCACTTCGGGAAAAAAGTATTTTCACCTCCCCCACGCGTTGCCTCAACGCCGCACTTTTTCAACCGTCTTCTTCCCCACACATTTCGCTTCGGCTCCTCTCGACACTTGAACACCGTCACCTGTCGCCAGCGCTCCCCCTTGCGCCTTCGCGACAACCCGTCCTCCACGTCAACTCAACACGTACCACCGACGAAGACCTGGATCGCCAAAAAATTACCTCCAAGATCCCCGTTGAGATCTCGAGATACACCTGCGCCATTACGCCCTCGAAATAAGGTGCCTCTCGGCAGGGCTGTAACCTAAAGCTCCACGAGATTATTGTGTTGCTCACACACCGGATATAACACGTCAAGCTTGCCCCTGAACACTCTGGCATCTCTCGGTGCTCAGCAGAGCGAGCCATTACTTGGAGAACTGTGTCAAGTCACTCGGAATAGCTCCTTCGTGGAGCGTCTTGCGAGAGCGCCTCATCGTCAGGCCCTTCTACCACCTCGGAGTCACGCCCAGGCGCCAATCTAACAGACAGGGGGCATCCACGGGAGCCGCTGGTTCGAGACGCTGCGCTCGACGTTCTGCGCATCATCTCGGGGAAGCAAGCAGAGTTGTTCGCACAAACGATTTAATGCCTAAACGATATCTCGATGTTTCGAACACCATGCCCTTGGACCGGATCCAAAGAAAGGTACGGCGTCTCGACTCCTGGCATGTAAGGGTGGGTGGTGATGGCATGCAAAGTTTCGTTTTCCTCCCCGTCTATCATAGATGTCCCAATTTCATGTCTGGCGCATACATGCTGCCATCGATATTCCACGTTCTGTTCCGGGCTACATTTAATATCAGCCAGCATGCTGTTTGGATCCTGGGGAATTTCTCACCGCAGCTCCTATACCGATCACCTTCCACCTTTGCTTTTGCCCTCTCACTTGGCCGTCAGGAAGTGCTTTGGTCCTGTGTTTGCTAACCAAGACATTATGCCACCCCACAGACGGAGCGTTCTCACGAGGAGAACCAGGAGCGGGCCTACATTGCGGCTTCCCGACGAGCCGACCGGAGCATCGAGGCGCGTGTTCAGTCTGCACGGATGGCCTCGGATATCCACAGGCGGCGGACTGGCAAGGGATTCAAGATATCCGAGGAAATTGTAATGAAGGAGGAGATGTACGAAGAAGAGGAGGACGACCTACCACGCTATCGGGCCTTGGCGGCTCTTGGACACCGTCCTCCGAGCGGCGCCGAAACCACCGATCGCTTCGGCCAGTATGGCGTCGGTGACCTTGGCCTCGGCGGCAAGCTCGAACACATGCGTGAGATCGAACGGCAATTCGAAGAGAGCTTCCCAAACGCCGCCCACATGTCGCAGGGAACCTTTCTCGGACATATTGGTGCCCGACAGTCATTCCAGCATTTTCAACAGCAGCCGCAGCAGAACCCTCAGCAGCAACAGCAACAACACCAGCCGCAGCGCAAACGCCATCAGCAACACGAGCCCCCCAACCGCGGGTTCTCGCACTCGCCAATGCTTGACTACGCGTCCCGGTACGCTAGGGAGCGTTCCCAGTCCATCAGCCAAGCATCCGCCGCTTTCGATATGGCGACGCGGCGCCATACAATTGCTGTCGGCATGCCCTCCCACCACAGTTTTCAGCCCCAGCTGCAGGCCGGTGGTCTAGGTGATGATGCTGGGAGCAGCAGCCTCTCACCTCCTGCCTTGACCCCCGGTGCTGTCGGTAGTAGCGGCAGCAGCAGCAGCGGCGGTAACGCCATCGAGACACCCACAATGCAGTACCAGCCCAGCTTCGCGCCTACGAACTCCTTTACAAACCTTCCAGCGACGACATCCATGGACGCGTTCGGAAGTGCGGCAATAACATCTGGACCCGACGGCGTGCCCTTCCTGTTTTCACCCCACTCTACGACCAACTTCCACTCGCAAGGGTCAGAGCACGACATCGCGGAAGGTGCGCTGGGTAGCGACTGGGGCGCCGAGCGGGTCTTTTACCGGGAGCCCAGCATGTATCCCCGCGACATGGACCTGGAGACGAGAGACGCATGTGGCGGCTGCTTCGACCAGCGTCCGCCTTCAGCCGCTAGCAGCGGAGGTATGTCGCAGTCTAGAAAGGCTCCCCAGCATCATCAACAACCCCCCGTGGCTACGACCAGCGCGCCAGACGACTACTTTGGCCATATTCCCACGATTACCGCTGGGCCTCCCTTGACCCGGTTCGAGAACCTGATCGATCCTCGCAGCGGTTCGCGAAGCGCTGCTGTTACCCCTGGAACAGACGGCTTTGACACTTTCTTTGACATGGACAACTACGCTCGGGCTGTGGCTGCTGCCAGTGCGGCTGCGCCTCCTTGGAATAACCAGACCCAAAACTAGTTGGCTTAGGGATATGGGAAGGGTGCGGCGACGCGTGCATTCTCTTGGAATCTCTCCATCGGCATCATGGCCAGGTCTTGTGCCTGACCCCTTCCCATCTTTCCTCTTAATTTCGTACCCTAGCAGAAGTCACTTGGGAGCAGACAAGCACACGCAGCAACCACACCGAGAAAAAGAAAACAGCACAAAACATCTCCTTGATTCAAAAGCATATTGCGCTTGATACACACAATCCCCAGATAGTCCGCCGCGACAGAGGCATGATCTGTCGGACGACGACTTCTCGGCACTCTTTCCGAGTTTCTTTTGTCTCGACGCGTTGTTTTGAGTTTCTGTGGTATCCTGGGATTCGAGCACAGATCGGTGAGATTTGGGTCCTAACTTTGCATGGACTTGTGTTGTCTTGCGCTTCGGGGCCGCCTCTCGTCCCCACTGAGGATCGAGGTCCTGATCAGGTGTCCGTCAGCTTTTTGCCTTCGCAGCGGGAGCACTGGATCCGGCATCAGCCTTTTCCGCCCATCACCTCCCTTTATTCCCTTGATTCCCCCTTTTCTCTTTTTCTTCTTTTTTTTCGTTGCCTTTACTTTTTTTTTTTTTTTTCTTTTCTGTTTTGCGCGGCCGGTACACAAAAAAGTCCGCAAGGAAGCACGTGATACACACTGATGAATACAGGATGAGGGGAGCTGGGTAACACTCTGATGAAGCCATGATATACACAGCATTTTGGTTGGGAACATAGCACGGCGCATCACGTCTTGCTGGCGCAAGGGGGCTGCAGAGCACATACACGGATGGGACAGCACATGTATTGGAAGGGAAGCTTTTCTGGGAGGCTCGCGGTTTAATTTCTCAGCGACTTGGGACTTTTTTCTTGCTGTGTTTCCTTTTCTCATTTCCTTCTTGTCACGAAAACTAAGATACCACACGCGCGCTTAGAAATCAGTATTGATCCTAGCATCAAGAATAATATCACCAATGTCTGCTCCGAATGGGAATCCGGTGGGCGCGGCTGGGAATTTGGCATGTGGGCGACGTGACAAGGATAGAAGCATCTCAGATGCCAGGGGTAGCCCCTGCGCTCCCGCGATGCCACCCATGGGAAGGGTTTGAAAGGTTCAAGCCCAGTCCGATCGACTTTTATGCTTAATTCCATTTTTAGCCAAACATTTCCACGCTGGTAAAAGCGTTGTTTTCATGGGATCCAGCAAAAAACCATGCCTGGGCATTTGGCGGACCGGTTGAAAGTCCGGCGATCGGCGACCGACTGACTGGGCGGGCGGAAGCGAAAAAAAAAAGAAAGAAAAAAACTAGGGGTGCGCAACTTTCCGGCGGGCGGTGGCAAGCTTGATTTCGGGGCGGAGCGCCTCCTGTTTGTTTCTGTTTCCTCCGACGGCCTGGTTTCAGAGAGTTCGCTTGTCCTTTGTTGTCCTTGTTCTCGTGGTGCCCTCCAAGTTCGGATGGCAGAAGGGCTGGCATAGGGTAAGATCGGGACAAAGGGAAAAAAATAGAAGAAGGAAAAAACAAGATTGGTTAGGGAAGGAGTGGAAAAGCCAAGACCGCACCAAGCACAGCCGCTGCTGTCAAAGACAGACAGCAACCGACATGGGAAATAAAAAGCAAAGACGAAATCAGGCGGACGAACCGTGGTGGCTTCTCATCGACAAAGAAGAAGTTGGTCGAATATCACATTATGAGGAGGGAGTGATCCACCGTCACCCACGCGGCCGTAGAAAAGCAAAAAGACGGGAAGAGATGAAACAATTTGAGGAGGAAAGGGGGCGCTTCTAGAATGTTTGAGGAGAACAACCGGGCTGTTCCCTGGGCGGGAGGAAGAGGATGAGCAAAAGGAGGAAAGGAAAGAAGAGGACGCAATGTCAAGGTCAAAGAAACCGGCCGTAAATGGGTAGTAGCTCAGCGAGGAGGATATGACAGAGCCATTGTTCGGCGGGCGCATACCCCCGACAGATCCTGGACAGGGGCCGGCCGCGTGGGTATCTGTGTGTGCGTGCCTGTGGTTATAAGTCGGAGTGCGTCCTGCTGGTGTTGGTGAGGACGAGAGGGGAGGCTGAGTAGGGCAACCCACAACCTCTTCTTGCAGATATCAAGACCACAAGCTCGCTCTCCTTTGCAACCGGCTCCAACCCAACGACCTGCCCTGCCCACTCGACCACCTGAGCAAGCAAGCCAACCAGCCAGCCAGCCAGCCAGCCAGCCAGCCAGAGGGAACCCAAGCAGCAGTTCATCCAACAGGGAAACCCGAGCCGCACAACAAAGCTGGGCCGCCTCGCTTCACATCACAAGAAGCAACCAAGCCAAACCAAACCAAACCTACCAAAACACACCACACACGCCCCCCCACCAGCGCCATGGGCCGCAGCGGCTACGAGACGAGCAACATGGGCCCCCACGGCACCGTCCCGGACCCGGACCCGAGCTCGTGGTCGTACGCGGGCCTCCCGCCGCCCAACCGCAAGGAGCAGACGGCGCTGCGCAAGGCCTCGGCCGCCGCCGCCGCCGCCGCCGCCGCGTCGTCCCCCATCAGCACAGGTGGCTACGACGGCAACAGTCCCCAGCCGTCGTCGGGATCGCCGCGTGCTGCTGCTGGCAAGTGTAAGTTTTTTGTGGTGGACAGGACCTAGCGATCGGGGGAGCACCGCGTACGGCTTTGACAAGGGAAAACGAATGGGGTTTGCTGATGCAGTGAATGGATATCCATCCATCCATCCCGTTCCAGAACCGAATTCCTGGCGACATCTGCCGATCCCATCGCGGCTATGGGGCCTCGTCGACAAGCATCCCCCCGCCCATAACTGAGAGAAACACTCTCTACCTACCTAGGTACCTTGCACACCTCTGGTTAAGCAGGGCTTTCGGTAGGGGCGGCGCTGCCTCCTTTCCTTAACACGCAACTATCTCATGACTGTATACATCACCACTCTAGACTGGATACCCGGTGGTTTTGCTTTGGACTGCTTCTTTTGGGACGGGCTCGGGTTGGCTTACACGACTAGACTGGTTGGCGCGCTGGGTGAATTTGTTTTTGCATGTTTGCTGCTCTTGCTTTTTGCGTCACTACATGTCCCATCTTGGCATCGACAGACAAGTCAAACACATTCGGGAATGTCTACAATCATCCTTTTGCAGGTGACATGCACGCTAGGCTCGACGCGAAGTGAAGCAATACCAAGTATGGATGGGTATCTCGATTACTTTTGCTTTTCTGGATGCCTTCTTCACATCCGCTCTCTCCTATACCACCATATCGACATCCTCTTTCGTCTTCTTTTCCTTGCGCTTCTTCTCCTCCTTCTTTTCCGACTTCCTCTCCTTCTTTTCTTTCTTTTCCTTTTTATCTCTCTTTTCCTTCTTCTTTGTCACTTCATCAGCCGGAGCGGCCGTGTCCTGATTGTCCGGCCCCTCGTCCTCCTTCGCCTCGTCTCCTTCCCTGGGCGCCCACGGCGCCTTCTTGACCCTCACCTCGGGCGCCCTGGCCCGCCGCTTGTCCTCGGGCTCGACCTCCTTGGCCCACTGAATCCAGTCCGCCGGCCGGTGCGCCCACAGGTCGCCCTTCCAGGCGTGCCAGACCTTGCGGCCGGTCCAGCTCGCGCGCAGCTCGCTCTCGTGCGACGCGAGCTGCGCCACGAGCGACTGCCTCATGAAGAAGGGCAGCGCGAACCCGGGCGCCTTGGACGGCACCAGCGCCAGCGCGTTGAGCACCCGGTGCCCCTGCTCCGACAGCGCCAGCGCGAGCACGCGCTGCTGCGGCGGAGACGTGAGCGACGACGCCAGCACCTTGTGGAAGACCGGGTTGGACGCGGGCTTCCCGATGGCCGCCGCCAGGAACTTGGACCCCGCGCCGCCGCCCGCAGTCGAGGTCGCGAGCTGGTCCAGCTCCTCGGGCGAGAGGAAGAGGAGCGAGCCCTGTATCGCCTGTGCGGGTGCGCCGCCGATGCTGATAAGGGTTGTCGCCAGCTTGCAGCCGTTGCGGACGAGGTCGTCCTTTCTCTTGGGCGTCATCTTCTCCTCTGGCTCCACCAGTTGCGCAGCGTCGGTTTCGCCCTTCTTGTTCTTCTTGTCTTTCTTCTTACAATCCTTTTTCTCGCCGCCCCCCTCGCTCTGCAGGTAGCAGAGCCTCCGGACGAGCGAAATCCCGGCGGCGTTGCAGGCATCCGCAACTGCCTTGAGGAGGGCATTGATCGAATCGCCAAGTTCGCGGGCGTCACAACGCTCGAATAGTGTGGCGAGAATGCTAAATCGGCCACGAGAGAGCAGCAGCTCGACCTTCGACAGAGACTTTTGGACTGTATCGGCCAGGTCCTCCTTGCTCAGGCGGTTCAGCGCCCTCATGAGACAGTAAGTCGCTGTCTCATTGCGGAGCAGCGTCTCGACTCGTGGCCCAAACACGTGCGCGTACAGGCCCTTGAAGATCTTTCCCGGGCAGTGCGTCACGAGCGTCTCAAGCAGTCGTGAGCCAATGGGGTCGTATATGGTGCCGCTCACGAACCTGGACGCTTCCGATTTCTCGTCGCCCAATGATGCGGGGGCACCAGGGAGAAGACGCTCCAGCAAAGTCATTGACGAGCCCCCCTCTCCCGCTTGGGCCTCATCCGCCGCTTCAGAAGCCTTTTTCCGGTTCTTGTTCTTGGTGTTGAGTGCAATATCGAGTTCTAGGAGTAGCTGCATGATTGGGTTTCCTGTTGGATGTTTCACCATAACGGCGAGCATTGTTGAGTCGAGCGAGGAGAGTGTGTCGTTGATGATTTTCTGGACAGCGAGGCCGAAAGACGACGGCACCGGCATTGTCTGCGGGGAGTCCTCCGTCTGGGTCGTGAACTGGGCGCCCGGTACGGATATCCTCTCCTTATTCTTGCTCTGCAGAAGTGATTTCATCGAGACCTGGTCCAGTGACCTCCCAGCGAGGACGGTCAGCAGAACCCGCAGCGAATGTGAGCCAAAAGTGTCCGTCATCAGATACGTCAGGTGTTCCTCCAGCTCGTCCAAAACTAGGAGGAATATCTCTTCCATCGACAGCAGAGGCTTCTTCGGCTCGCCGTCTGCTTGCTCCGGCTCCTCCTCCGGCTCCTCCTCTTCGACCTCTCCGGCCAGCTCGCTGGAGACAATGGGGGCGGACTGAGAAAAGAGCTGCTCGCAGCAGTGGCTGCCGAAACGGTGGGTGACGAGGGTCGGGAAGTGGTCGGCGAAGGCGTCGAACAGGCGCTTCTTCTGGCGAGTCGTGGAGAGCAGGATCAGTCGTTCCATGAGGCGGGAGCAGGATTGGCTGCTTGCCAGCTTGAGCTCCTTGCCGGCCGCCTCTTTGAAGACGTTGGCGATGAAGACGGCGCGCTCGTCGGGGGAGGGGAAGTCGCTCAGTTCGAGCATCTCGTCGGCCCGGCGGAAGTACTCCTGCTCCTCATCCGACAGGGTGCCGAAGAATTCGCGCGTGTCCTGCTGGCCGGCCTTGCCGGCGTCCTCACCGTCGAGGGGGATGTCTTCATGAGGGATGTCGAGGTCGGCTTGTTCTTGGCGCTCCTGTTTCTTGGCCTCCTCCTTTTGCTGCTGCTCCGCAAGCTTCCTCCTCTTCCGGCCGCGGTGTTCTTTTTCAGCCTTGCGTTTCGCCATCTTGTATCGTGAGTTTGTCGTCAATTGGTCCCTCAGCGTGGTCGAAAGTAAGAATCTGGGGGCATCACCAACAAGAAAAAAAAAAGTTTCCCTAGAACACGAGCTTATCTTCTTATCGGACGAAGGAGTGGGGTTGATCACCCCGGCCGGCCCACAATTACCTTTGATAAGCTCATCCCTGTCCCTGCGGGCATCACCAACTGGAGCTTCATCAGAGAAACTGCCATATTTTCAAGAAAAAATACATGTCTGCTACTTACTGAATGCCCCTGCTCGACCTGATACGAGCCATCTTTATGCGACAGTCTCCTTGCCCACAGCTTCAAGAGCCCTCACCAGCCCCTCGACGGTCCCCTGTAGAGTCTGGCAGTTCACAACCACCCTGAAGAAGCTCCCTTGCTCTCCTGGCGCGTAATCGACCATGAAGCCGCGGCGGATCAGCTTCGCCACCATCTCCCGCGTCCGCCGCGAGTTCTCCGCCGGCCCCTTGGCATCGCCACAGGGCGTGTAGTAAAAGCATACCTGAAGGCACGGCGGCGGGTTCGTCGAGACGAGCGTGAAGTCCGGGTGCGCCTCGACCAGGCCCGCGAGGTAGGCCGCCATGGCGAACGCCCCGTCGATCTGGCGCTCGAGCCCGGACGCGCCGTAGTAGATCCACGACAGCGCCAGCTTCAGGCTGTCGCCGCGGCGGCCGCACTGCAGCGTCAGGTCGGCGAGGTCCCACACCTCGGCGTTCCCCTGCTCGCCCGACGCCGCGTTGCCTCCGCCGCCGTGAAAGAGGTAGCCGGCCGGCAGCGTGTTGGCCCGGTGGAAGACGTCCATGTCTGGCCCGAGCAGGAACGAGCACGTGACGGGCACGTTAAGCATCTTGTGCGGGTTGACGGTGATGGAGTCGGCGAGGTGCGCGCCCGCCAGGCGGTGGTGGTGGCGCGCCGAAAAGACGGCGGAGCCGCCCCAGCTAGCGTCCACGTGCATGTAGAGCCCAAACTCCCTGCAAACGGCCGCGATCTCCTCGAACGGGTCGAACGAGCCGAGCACCGTGGTGCCGGCGGTCGCGTTGACATAGAGCGGCGTCATGCCCTCTCCCCTGGCGGCAAGGACGGCGTCGCGCAGCGCCGAGGGCACCATGCGACCCTTGGCGTCCACAGGCACGGTTCGGACGCCTGAAGAGCCGATCCCGCACGCAGAGGCGGCTTTCTCGACGGAGTAGTGGCCATGCTCGCTCGTGAAGAGAGCGAAGCGGTGGTCGCCGTTGCCATCTGCCTTTGTCGACGGGAACAGAGTGTTGCGGGCAATGACCACCGAGGTGAGGTTGGACGCGCTCCCTCCCCCTATTGTCACGCCGCCGGCCCGAGGTCCGTCAAAGCCAAAGAGGCCCGCCAGGCCCCGGGCCGTCGTCTTTTCGATCACTGTGAGCGCAGGGGAGACTTGGTAAACGTGCACCTGCCCACCACATTAGTCCTCCACGGCCAACGAAGAAATGAAGATTGTAGGGTACGCTGCGTGCGATCCTACATTCGTGTTGAGCACGGATAAAAGTAGCTCAGATACTACCCCTACCTGATCGGGAGTGATATCAGTATCCGAGGTATAAAAATCGAATGGGAAAAGATATTGAAGGGGTTGCTCACGGCGTTGGTGCTGGAATATAGCTTATCCAAAAATCCTTGGTCCCAGGTATTAACGGAGAAGCGCAGGATCTGTTGAATAACCTGCAGCAAGCCCTCTCTACCGCGGCCCTCGCGTTCAGGAAGCGCGAACGCAAGCTTAGACACGAGATCTAGTGGCTCGCACGGCTCGACCAGCGAGTTCCAGCGCGAGTTGGCAACTGAGGCACCTCCATCGATCTTCGAAGGAGCGCCTTCGTCGGCGTCTCGTACAAAGGGCACGATTAGCGACTTGACTGCATCGATGAGCTTTTCTCCTTTCCCCGGCCAGGGGAGGATGCCTTGTTAGTCCATGTCCTTGGCATCAGGTCCGAAGCGGTGAACTGTCTTACAGCCTCCAGTTCGTCTGCCCTGTTAAGAGGCGAGCGCTTGAGCACTGTCATCTTTTTTGTCGATCAAACGAAAATGACGGCGCCGGACGCAAGTGAAAGTGAAGAAGGTGTTCTTTCGTGGTAGTCTGAAGGCAGGTATCGGATCATATCTCTTGGCAGGAACTGACTTTGGAGACAAGAAAAGGCATTAAAAATCAAACGCTGCCGATGCCGGTGGGGATGCCGAATCGGGCCACTCTTATCCATGCCGGCTGAATGTTTCGGCCGAAACGGGACTCTCCCAAGCATTTGGATTGACTCGGTTTTGCCACCACTTTGTCGTCATTTCACTGTGTCGGCAAGCTGGGATGAGACTGTCCGCCTCGAGTTCAAACGATGGCTATCATGTTCTCCATGATCCCGCCCGCCCTCTCGAGAAGGAACTTTCCAAACGCAAATCGTACTGGCTGGCATCAATCCAGCAGGAGTCGGGACGCAAGAGCGAGTCTGACTCGTGAGAACCCACATGCCGCCCCAAGTGTCGGTCGGGCACACTCTCAGCCTCCCAAGCGGTTCAATGCCGGATCAGCGTTCAAGATGCAGCCCTAACGGTGGAATGGACTGTGATTTCTTGGATTGGGATTCATCCATCCAGGAGGGATGCCAGAAGCCCGACCCTCCAGAAAAAAAGGTCGTGGGACACTCAGCTCGCCGGCTTTCCTGGGAGCTGGAACACACGGGCGGAATGAAATGCAGTCTAGCCATGCTCGGGAGGCTAGCGAAAGCCACGCATCGACGAGATGCATCAAAATCGCCGCACGCCACCTCGGCTGCGTCGAGGCTTGCCACCTCCAAGACAAAAAAAATGATACACCAAAATTGAGCATTTCATTCACCAATGGCTTCCCAGCGGAATATCCTATCAAAAATTTACAAAAACTCAAAGTACCAAATTTATAACCAACAGTTTTAAATGACATTTTTCTTTAAATTTTTATAATTTTCCTGGAGTTTATACATTTGATTGTTTATTGCTTGTCAGAGGCTGTTGAGTCCATTTGGGGGAAAGTTCTCCACTTTTCCGTTCTTTTGGTGTATCATTTTTTTTGTCTTGGAGGTGCTTGCCCATCTCCCAATAAGCGATAAGACAAT